TTGACACCGGATTGGCTGAAATTGTAACATGTATAGCTATGTTGTTAGATTAACTGATTTGAGACGGCTGAAATTGTAACTGTACATTCAGCAATGTTTTTAGATCGGCTGATTTTGGAGCAACACCCCGGAAAGACGCACTTAATGATTATGACACTAAAAATTTTAATAAAACTTTTAAAACATATGTTTCTACTTCTCATGTATTATTGCAATAAAATTTTTTTTTTTTTAATGCTTTTAGACTTTGCCAAATATCTTACATGTTTATTAATCAGTTAATTATGTCTCATAAATGAATTATTCACCAAAGCAACTGTACATTGCAATGCTATCTGTGTGTTACCAAATAATGTTACCTTATGAGAAAATGGTATGTGTATTTCCTGATATAAACTGATAAAATGTACATGATTATATTATTTGCACATCTCCTTACATGAACTGATACAATGTATTTGTTATGTATTTTGCAGAATGTTAAGATGTCTATTTGTTACTGGTCCCTATAAGGCAAGAGTAGTAAAACTGTACCCTACCAAGAAAGTTTTAGGTCACTAACGCTTAAGTACTGGACACTGCAGACCCAACAAACACTCACATGAATTAGGTATGAGCCAAACAGCTCTCTGCCAGTGTCTTCATGCTGAACAGGCTCCAGAACAATGTCTTACAAGACTACGCTCCTGGCAGAGCTGTAAGTCAACATGTGACCACGCCCAGTAGACCTGAACTAAGCTTTGGGGAAACCTAAGAGACCTTGAGAAGGCATCCCAGTTTATGGCACACAGCGGATTATGCACATGACCAGAGATCGCTGAAAATAAAGGTCACTAAGGGTAGTGTCAGTCGAGGCATAGCTTCTTAATTCTGACTGCAAAGTGATGATCCTCAGGATCAAAACCTTTTCCTCCCCCAGCAGCTTGTCTTTGTAATACAGATGTGGTAAAACACTGATGTCTGTAATACAGATGTGGTAAAACACTGATGTTCTGTAATAGCACAGATGTGGTAAACACTGATGTCTGTAATACAGATGTGGTAAAACACTTGTCTGTAAAACACTGACACTGATGTTCTGTACATACACACTGATGTCTGTAATACAGATGTGGTAAAACACTGATGTCTGTAATACAGATGTGGTAGAACACTGACTGTCTGTATATACAGATGTGGTAGAACACTGATGTCTGTAATACAGATGTGTAGTAAAACACTGATGATTCTGTAATACAGATGTGGTAGAACACACTGATGTTCTGTAATACAGATGTGGTAGAACACTGATGACTGTAATACAGATGTGGTAGAACACTGATGACTGTAGTACAGATGTGGTAGAACACTGATGACTGTAATACAGATGTGGTAGAACACTGATGACTGTAATACAGATGTGGTAGAACACTGATGACTGTAATACAGATGTGGTAGAACACTGATGACTGTAATACAGATGTGGTAGAACACTGATGACTGTAATACAGATGTGGTAAAACACTGATGACTGTAATACAGATGTGGTAAAACACTGATGACTGTAATACAGATGTGGTAGAACACTGATGACTGTAATACAGATGTGGTAGAACACTGATGACTGTAATACAGATGTGGTAGAACACTGACTGATGACTGTAATACAGATGTGGTAGAACAACACTGATGACTGTAATACAGATGTGGTAAAACACTGATGACTGTAATACAGATGTGGTAAACACTGATGACTGTAATACAGATGTGGTAAAACACTGATGTCTGTAATACAGATGTGGTAAAACACTGATGTCTGTAATACAGATGTGGTAAAACACTGATGTCTGTAATACAGATGTGGTAAACACTGATGACTGTAATACAGATGTGGTAAAACACTGATGTCTGTAATACAGATGTGGTAAAACACTGATGTCTGTAATACAGATGTGGTAAAACACTGATGTCTGTAATACAGATGTGGTAGAACACTGACACTGATGACTGTAATACAGATGTGGTAGAACACTGATGTCTGTAATACAGATGTGGTAAATACAGATGTGGTAAAACACTGATCTGTAATACAGATGTGGTAAAACACTGATGACTGTAATACAGATGTGGTAGAACACTGATGACTGTAATACAGATGTGGTAGAACACTGATGACTGTAATACAGATGTGGTAAAACACTGATGACTGTAATACAGATGTGGTAGAACACTGACACTGATGACTGTAATACAGATGTGGTAAAACACTGATGACTGTAATACAGATGTGGTAAAACACTGATGACTGTAATACAGATGTGGTAGAACACTGATGACTGTAATACAGATACACACTGATGTCTGTAATACAGATGTGGTAAAACACTGATGTCTGTAATACAGATGTGGTAAAACACTGATGTCTGTAATACAGATGTGGTAAAACAATGTCCATTTCATTGCCCTGTAACATGTATTCAATGACATATCATTGGCAGCTACCTGCTCTTATTGATGACTA